TTATAGCGAAGTCCTCCTGTGAGACAATCTACCAGAGAGGCCTTTGTAAATCAGTCGACTTCTATAGGCTGTAATGATGTAATGGTAGATGGATATACATCATGCATAAATGTCGAGATACATGAGCGTAGTGTATTTTTATTTTCAGATTGAAACATAATGAAGAAAAAAAATGTAAACCGTGAGGACAATTCACACTATCACTATCATTACAGTCCATCACAACTACGGCTCTGAGCCACTTGTGTGTTGAACAATAATAGTTTCTTTTTTTATGGAAGAATTACCTATCCACCTTATTTTTCATAGGCTGTAACGGTACTTAATCTAAGGTTGGGTTAGCTTTATTTTTGTTTTGGTTTTATGAGGTACTGTGTTTTTTTATTTTTTTTTCATTTTCGCTGTAATTTAAGGTGTTTAGTAAATAAAATCGTTATATTTATTATTCTATATTGAGCTAACTGTAGTCACTAAGCTTTGACACGAATGGCCAAATTAAAACATTAAATTAATACAAATAATTAAAAAATATAAAAATATATTTTACGTGGTAGTGCCACGTTGCAGATATATTATGGTTGTAGCTCGAATGAGTCGGTTCGACCGGGTTGGGCCTCGCTCTCACAGAACACCAGCGTTAAATAGCAGCTTAACGTGTCTGTGTTTTGTATGGTGAGTGTAGCGAACCGGCCCGGAGATCCCTTTTACTGGAAACGAGGCATTCTGTCATAATCCTTAGAGGTGATAACGCATCTGCAATTTGATTCTTAATCGAGGATAAATGTGGATGTCTATGGGCTATAGCATCCACTTACCATCAGATGGACTGTGTGTACGTTGTCACCCCGTTTCTATAAAAACAAATCGACCATTACTATTCTAGCATTATTAAGACATATACGACGATAAAAATGTTTGGGTTTAATTGCAGATTTCTTTTTTTTATTGCACTTATACAATATTTATTCCCCGAGAGGTGTCAGTTACGATAAATAATGATATGAGAATTCATCATCCCACCTCATAACGTTGCTGTTGTGAGAGGAGACTTAGCGGGACATTTGAAATACAAAAAAAAAAAAGAACTTAGTCAAAATCGGCTCATGTGTTCAGGAGCTATGATGTCCAGATACACAGATACACACTGTATACATATAACACCCCTCAGTTTTCGTCGGGGATTAAAAACTTAAAATATAAGATACGTAGATAGATGTATGGATCGATAATTGTATATTGCACACACCAAAATACAAAATAAGAGAGAGGAAAATAAAATAAAAATACAAAATGTTAAAAAGGTAGCACAATGAGCGGTCTCATCGCTAAGAGCGATTTCTTCCAGACAACGTTTGGGTGGACGAGATTGTAAAATCACAGAAATGTAAGTGTGTCGGTGATGTATTAGTACGTTTTTTATAGAAAAAGGGTGACAAACGAGCACACAGTCCGCCTGGTGGTATGATGAGAATGCCCATAGATATCTAAACTTATCCCCGATTAAGAATTTAAAATGCAGATGTGTTGTCACCCAGCGAACTAAGATGAAACGCCTCGTTTCGATTAAAAAAGGTCTCCGTTAACGTCGGTCAAGCCGATTCATTCGTGCTACAACGACAACTATCTAACGCTAAAGAAATACTACTATTTTAATACTTTATTAGTTATAAATTAAATATCTTTAATAAGAAAGAACGGAGAGCGCGCCTTTGCTTGCACATATACTCAAGCACTGTAATCTTTTATTGCGTAGATAGCTAGTGTCCTATGAGACTTATCATAGAAGTATACGAGAACGAACACGCGGCTCACTTGATGGAAAGTGTCGATCACCGCCCACGAAAAAACCAGATGCTTTACCGGATTTTCCAAAAGGAGTAAGCTCGTTTCTCAAAAAGGTCTATAGCTTGTATTGATCCAGAAAAATCGCTGATGGAAAGTAATTCCACAAAGGATGCGGGTGACGAAGAACACTCCCAGTAAATCTCAAAGCGGTGGATCGCCAAGCATTTGGATGATGTTGATTGCAATGGGAATTTTGTCGCGATGTACGTTGGTTGAATTTGGCGACTGGAATTAATCCAAGCAATTTCTCAGAGTATACTCCACATGGTTAATGTGACAGAAAATTAAAAAATCACGATCTCTGCCAATGGCGTGGTCTACAAGTTGGTATTTTTTGACATTATCCCTATATCATTATATTTGTGAATTGAGATGTTTAAAAAGATTTATTATTATTATTATGGGGTATCTATATAATTTTTCACCTGGTTGGGTGCTATAAATATATAATTATAAATTAAAATGATAAGATAAATATACATAAATATCAATAAAATAAAATAAATACAAAAACTACATAAATAAATAAGATCCAACCAGATGGGAGCCCTCGGCAGGGGAGACCAAACGGCCGAGGGTTAGGGGGAAAGGGAAAGAAACCGGCGGACGATGCGGGCGGTATCGAGAAGCACCGCCTTCTGCATTTGAGCCCGGAGCGGTCCGTCACGGAGTCCCAGTCGCCTCAGACGACCCAAGAGGCTGACTGGGATTAGCCCATTCGCAGAGACGACTATAGCAATAATTTCGGTCGGCATATCACCCCACATGTCGGTCACCTCGTGAGCCAGGTCCAGATATTTTGTTCGTTTATCCGTTTCGGCTTTCACGAGGTTCTCGTCATACGGAATAGTAATGTCGATCAAAAATATCCTTGACTGTGCCTGGTCCATCAGCACAATATCAGGCTTATTTGCAAGAATAGTCCTGTCTGTGATGATGGCCCGGTCCCAGTAGAGCCTGGCGCGGTCATTTTCGAGCACGGCTTCTTGCAAGTACTTGTAGTACGGCAATTTTCGATCCACGAGACCGTATTTCAGAGCGAGCTCCTGGTGTAGAATTCTGGCTACTAGGTTGTGCGTGTGCAAGTACTCAGAGTTAGAAAGCGCCGAACAACCGGAGATGACATGCCTAAGTGACTCCCCCGGGATGGCGACAAGCTCGACAGACGTCGACAGTGCCATCCTTTAGGATGTATCTCCGATAGTTGTTGGTCTTAATAACCTGATCCTGTATTGCACAGACAAAACCCTCGGTTTCCCCCGAAGAGGTCACCGAAACGTAGCCAGTTGAGGGAGGCGGCTGTATCTACGTGAGGCTCATGTAGAGCCCTGTAGTACCTCCCGTGGAGCTCCTTCTCCTTCTATACGGTCTCCCGGTCGAAAATGCTCTGTACTGCCGGGTCTCCCCATTGCTCGTTGGCTAAGGATAGAGGGGTAAGTCCTTTATCACTAGAAATGACGTCATTATGGAATGGATCATCCGATCTCGCCAGAAAGTAATGACGGAGGCCTCATTACCGACGATCTCGGATGATGCATCCTATGGGATGTCATTGTAGTGCGGACTTTTCTATCCAGGGCGTTAAGTTCAGTCTGACTCCACCAGAGAATGCCGAAGGTATACATGAGGACAGGCATAACCCAGCCGTTATATGTATGTGTCTTATTCACATCGGACAAAAGGCTGTTAAGCACTTTGGTCAAGCGTGCATAAAACATGTCGCAAACTGACGGTTCATACCAGCCTCATCGATACCGATGTTCTGTGACATACCCAGGTATCGGTATGTTTCAGCCTCGGAAAGGGTTCTTAAGTTGACGGGCATAGATAAGTCTATGCCCTCAGAGTTAGCAACCCTTCCCCTTTCAACATGGAGGACCGCACACTTATCCGTCCCCAGCTCCATTCTAATAGAATTGCTAAATTTACAAGTGATGTTTAGCAATTCCATAAGATGGGAGCGACTGGAGGCGAATAATTTGAGGTCATCCATATAGAAAAGGTGGGTCGCTTGTGTACCTCCTTTCCGAAGCTGAAATCCCCCCCCCCCGGAGCCCTCCAGTAAAGTACTGAGAGGGTTCAAAGAGAGGCAGAACCAGATTGGACTCAGACAGTCGCCCTGGAATATACCCCTTCTTATCCTTATGCGGCTTTCCGCAGCCGTCATCCGCTCGCCTAGATGACAGAGGATCGTACTCCACTGCCCCATACACTGCTCGAGGAAGTCTCGAACTGTACAGTCAATCTTGTACAGCTCGAGGACCCTCTTTAGCCATGTATGGGGCACCGAGTCAAATGCCTTTCTGTAATCTATCCAGGCGGCGGAGAAGTTCCGACGGTTGCGTTTCACCACTTTGCCAATGACCGCGTCAATGAGGAGTGGTTCCTTGGTTCCACGACCGCCGCCCCGACATACATTTTGAGCGCGCGACATCACCTGATTTAAGTCCAGGTGACGAGCAATTCTTGCGCTCAAAATGGATGTTAGTGTCTTGTATATGGTCGGTAGACACGTGATGGGGCGGTATTTGCTCGGGTCTGTGGCACCCTGATCTTTAGGAACCAAATGAGTGATCCCAGTAGTGAAGAGGCTTGGGAGCGACTTCTGGTTGAGAGCGTCTTGAAACTGTCGGGCGAGCACAGCGTGACACACCATGAACCCCTTCAGCCAGTAGTGATGCAGCCCGTCAAGCCCCGGACTTTTCCAGTTCGGGGCCCTACGGACCGCCTCAGCTACGTCATCCGGCATTATGATGAGGGGTCCATGGGCGTAATACCCGCACACTGACTCGCCACAACTTCCGTCCAAGGGCCCTCGTTATGGTTTACGGGCTCTGACCACAGGCTGCGACAGAATGCGACCGTGTCGGCCTGATTTGGTGCAGGGCCCGTTCCACTTACTATTGGTCGCTCCAATGATTTATAGAGCCTCTTCTGATCACTCTGGAAGAGACGATTCTGGTTGAACCGTGTCGACCTCTCGGTATACCGCCGAATCCGCTTTCCCCAAGCAGCTATTCTTTGCTTCAGGTCGTCTATGCGCTCCGTCAGTTTTTGCATTATATCCGGCTGGGACAAACTAACATTTGTCCCAGCAAACGCCGTCCTGACGGTGCGCACAATCCTTGGTCTGGTATTGCCTGACCTGAAGCATATCAGTCTGCCGATGAGGGCCTAGCCTTTGCGATACGTTCTTCAATTCTTATTCTCCAGGCTGGGATAGCACTACTTTGTCCAGTAGCGCGTCCAGCCGTGGGAAGTTTGGCACCTATAATACGGCAGACTGCCAGTGCGGCGCCAAAAAGAATTGAGTCCGTCTCGCAAAGGTCCCGGCTGGCTTCCAAATAGGTAACCAGCATTGGGTTCAGAGCCCTCACGACAGCCCGATTCCGCTTGCTTAGGGCTAAGCGGGGAAGTCGCGGTCGATTTTCGAGAGTCGTACTGCGCGTTTCCACAATCGCCTCTTCCAATGTACTCCTCATTTGCTCTAGTTCCAGTTCCTGGGCGACTGTTCCATCATCGTTTGAATCAACCACAACTGGCGTATTCACGGCGGCATCCACATTTGCCGTTTGCTCAGCAAGTTGTGGCGCCGCATCCTCAGCCGCAGCATTTTCACCCGATGAAGGAACAGCCTCACGTCGTAGCCGTTCGAGTTCGGTGACATCAAATGTATTTGAGCGCAAGATATACCGAACTCGGTCTGCCAGGTTTTGCTCGGTGACGGTTACAGATGGCTCCAGCTCAGCAAAAAGTCGATGCATCCTTGCCCGATACGCAAAACCTCCAGTTTCTCCCCCTTTCGCCCTAAAATACGCCCGCAATGCGTTGCTGTTCATCTGGGTTGTCCAACGCATGCGGCGTACTCCACCAGTGGTGGGTGCCGATTGCTGAGCCCGCGAAGACCCTGCCGACACCAAGCCAGCTGGTGGGGTGATGGATGCGAGGAGCTGCTGGGTGGTTGTGCAGCACCTCGCGCTCGGCTGGCGGTTCGCATGCTGTCGCGTCCAGCGCCAGCTCCAGACGCGCCCTGGCGACCTCCAGGCAGCGGCCCTTTGCGCGTTCCATTTGATTCCATCATCCATTTTAGGGCGTCATTTATTATTATTATTATTATTATTATAATTATATATTATTTTTACAAAATTCGTTATCATTAACGTCGGCTCCGAAATAGAAAACAGTAGCAAACGGGACATTAATCATATTAACATAATCTCAAGCGTTTTACACTGTAAATCCAGATTATGATCCAGACTTAAGTTTTAGACATTATGAAAAATGAGCTTCAACTCAAATTTGTGTCAGAATACTAGCTTTATTTTACAACTGACATTCATACATCGTTAGCTCATTACAGCCTACTAAAAGCCCATTGCTGAACATAGACCTCCCTTTCATATAGCATGGTGGCCACGCTGGCAGGAGGGTTGGTAGCCTCAGCGTTTTATTATTTGTAGCTGTCATCAGTAATATGGTGCCCATTATTTTCAATTTACTTCGGTCGCGTTTTGTGATACCCATAATTGATATGGGGTAGTGGATTCTCTTACGCCGCCACTACATGGCGAACATCTCACATATAATATGATCACCGTCATCTTATAGCAATAAATTATCATTTTCAAAAAAATATGACAAATATATTGGAAAGAAACTTCTTACTTAGGTATTTTAATGCATTTGTCTGCCTGTACCGACTTAAAAAAGATGCGACAAACTAGTTCTTGAAAGTAATTTTCTTAAATGGAATCTTTGTAAGTGCCAAAACACTTCATGCTAGCGATTTTTATTTCTTTTAGTTCGTTAGTCAAATGGAACTATTCGTAACATTGGTTCATTTACAAATAAACTTCGATGCTTCTATTGCAACAAAATAATAATGTTAAGGAAAACATTTCGCTATCTTTAAAAAGTATTGTTTTAAATATTCATATATAATCTCGTTGTTGGGGATTTAGATAATTACGTAACATTTTCAGTTTTAAAAAGTTTTAATTTTTTAAATTTGCATTTCCAAACTTAGTACAATAAATATATGAAGAAAATAACATATGAAGATGGGAGATACCTCTCAAAATATAAAATATGAGGCTTAAAATTTGGTCACTCCATAAGCTTTTGTTAACTAACAACTGACCTGACACAGAAGAGATTCACAGCAATTTACAAATGCGATATCACTCTTAAACGTTAAGTTGGAGAGGTCTCGTCTAATGAAGTCAACGCTCCGTCCCCCCTCGTGCTGTAATCCAGAATCCCGAAACCTTTCAGCTCGAGTTACGTAACCGCTTCCAGTGCCTAGAAGATTGCAATGCAGTGGACGATATGAACGACAAGCTTGTGGAAACTGTCCATGCGGTCGGAGCTAAGTTCTGCAAGACCCGCCGCAGAAGAACACCAAAACTCTCCGATCACACTCTTAATCTCATGGCTGTTAGACGGGAGATGAGGCTGCAATCGTCAACAGATTTGACAGCATACAGGCAACTGAACAGACAGATCTCCAAATGCATGCGGCGAGACTTACGCAACTTTAATACTTCTCGTATTAAAGAAGCGATCGAGCGGAACCAGGGCTCCAAAGTCTTTGCCAGAGATCTGTCTGCCAGAAAGAGCCAACTGTCAAAGCTGAAGACTGAGTGTGGCAACATCGTTTCCGGGACACCTGAGATTTTGAGTGAGATTGAGAGGTTCTATGGGCAGCTGTACACATCATCGTTGAAGCCACACGCAAGTGTGAGTAACGATCCAAGAGCAAGTCTTATCCGACACTATTCCGATGATATCCCGGACGTCAGTCTGAGCGAGATTAGAATGGCTCTCCACCACCTTAAAAACGGCAAGGCCCCGGGCGAGGATGGAATTACAGCGGAGCTTCTGAAAGCGGGTGGAAAACCGGTACTTGAAGTCCTTCGGAAGCTCTTCAATTCCGTCCTCCATGGTGGCACTACTCCGGAGGCGTGGAGCAGAAGCGCGGTGGTTTTGTTCTTTAAGAAAGGCGACAACGCTCTCTTGAAGAACTACAGACCGATTTCCCTTCTGAGCCGCGTCTACATGCTATTTTCGAGAGTCATTACGAATCGTCTCGCACGCGGACTCAACGACTTCCAGCTTCCCGAACAAGCCAGTTTCCGAAAAGGCTTCAGTACTATAAACCACATACATACCCTGCGGCAGATTGAACAGAAGACCGAAGAGTACAGTCTGCCACTTTGCCTGGCGTATGTGGACTATGAGAAAGCCTTTGATTCCGTCGAAATTTGGGCGGTGCTACAGTCCCTTCAGCGGTGCCAAGTTGACTGTCGGTACATAGAAGTGCTGAAGTGTTTGTACAGTAGGGCTACGATGGCTATCCGAGTACAGAACCAGAGTTCGAAACCTATCCAACTGCAGAGAGGTGTAAGACAGGGTGATGTTATATCCCCGAAACTCTTCACCGCTGCGTTGGAAGACGTTTTCAAGCTACTGGACTGGAAAGGATACGGTATTAACATCAATGGCGAGTACATCGCTCACCTTCGATTTGCCGACGATATAGTCATTATGGCAGAATCGCTGGAGGACTTAAGCATTATGCTCAATGACCTCAATAGTGCCTCCCAACTGATAGGTCTTAAGATGAACATGGACAAAACAAAGATCATGTTTAATGTCCATGTCACACCTATGCCGGTAGTTGTTGGGAGCACTATGCTCGAAGTTGTTGACGAGTACGTTTACCTGGGACAAATAGTCCGACTAGGTAAGTCCAACTTCGACCGAGAGGTCAATCGACGGATTCAACTCGGCTGGGCAGCGTTCGGGAAATTACGACATATCTTTTCGTCAGGTATACCTCAATCTCTAAAAACTAGATTGTACAACCAGTGCGTGTTGCCAGTGATGACTTACGGATCTGAGACGTGGTCCTTCACTGCTGGCCGTATGAGGACGCTTAAGGTCGCTCAGCGAGCTATGGAGAGGGCTATGCTTGGAGTTTCTCTGCGTGATAGACTCAGAAATGAGGATATCCGCAGTAAAACCAGAGTGACCGACATAGCCCAACGGATTAGTAAGCTGAAGTGGCAATGGGCCGGCCATATAGCTCGAAGAACCGATAACCGATGGGGAAGAAAGGTTCTCGAGTGGCAGCCTCGTACCGGTAGGCGTAGTGTAGGGCGACCCCCCACTAGATGGAGTGACGACCTGGTAAGACATGCAGGAAGTCGATGGATGCAGGTGGCTCAGGACCGTGCTTTGTGGCATTACTTGGGGGAGGCCTATGTTCAGCAGTGGACTTGTGAAGGGCTGTAATGATGATGATGATGATGATGATATCACTCTTGAGGACTATGATGTAATGTTTCGTTTCCGGGTAAAAAGTGCACGCTCGAAGTTTTTGACGAATATTTTTACTTAGCATAAAATGTTCAACAAGGTTTAATTCAATTTGGACCGAGATTCTAATCAACAGATTAACTCAACTGAGAGGAGTTTGGGAATTCAGACATAACATTTTCTTGTTTTAGTACTTGGAGACATGGTTCTTCCATGCTGGCCGTATAGAAAAGCTCAAGGTCTTAAGCGAGCTATAGCAAGGGCTATTACTCAGAGTGTTAGATAGCGTATTAGACTTTATAATAAGGATATTCGCTACAGATCCAGAATAATGGACATATCCCAACGGATCAGTAAGGTGAAGTAGTTAATAGGCTGTCCGTATAGCTCAAGTAGCCGACATTTGGGAAGAAAGGACTTGTGCGGGACTGTAATGAAAATGGTGATAAAAAGCACAGCATATTTTGCGAATTAAATAACATATATTGCGCTTATTATTTGTGAGTAATTTTCAGGAAGATGCTTCTGCTCATCTTCCGTTACAGTTTTTCCTTCCCGATGTCGCTTCTTACGATGCCGACGGGATATTGGATTAATAGGCTTGTGAATACTCTTGATGATGATTGTTTTAATTTTTTATCAATAATTGCAGTGTTAGGCATGTTTCTTCACTCCGTGGCACAGACTATCATATGGCATTAAGTTCATATTACATTAAGTCTTCACTTATAAGTTTGCTATCACCATTGATATAAAGAAAGCGATGAAAATTAATAAAATAACCAAAGATACTACATTTCCCACGCACTCAATATATCTTATAACTATAACTATAATATAAAGATTTATTTATATAACGGTAAAAAAGAAGTTCTTTTCAGAACTGTAAAAGTAATTACTTAATAGGAAACATGGTACTTAATAGCAAACACAACAAACAATTTAAGTTTTGTTCAAAAAAAAAATGAGGGTGACAAACGAGTACATAGTTCACCTGATGGTAAGTGGATAATGTGACCCATAGACATATACATCTATCTTCGATTAAGAATCGAAACTTAAGCTGGAATGCCATATTTCCGATAAAAATGGTTTCGGGTTCTCTTCACTCACCATACGAAACACAACCGAAGGAATTAAGCTGCTATTTTGTGCTGGTACTCTATGAGAGCGTGGTTCTACCCCGATCAAGCCGACTCATTATTATGACATAGTATAACCACGGTGACGAAATTACATTTGACTTGACCAAGGTTTTGTACAGGTTTTATTCATAATTTTTTCAGGCTTTTCAAATCCACGACTGGATGAGGGAGGGCTTCTCTCGTTTTAAGAAGGGTTTGCCAATATCAGCATGCTTCGTAGACGGACCGAAAATCGCAGTACCAGACGTCTCTCATCTTCCACATCTACCAGACTCTCGTCGCTAGTTATTTCTAGCCTT